TTCTCTCCTCTGTGAATAGTCGGCGTGAGACGAAAGAAATCGTGAAAGAAACAAAACCTATCACTTCCGCGGTAGAATTGCCAGAACTATACAGCTGATCTTTGAAACACGGTAAAGAAATCGTCATGAAAACATTACTCATTCTCTCAGGAGACGGTAAATATTCTTGAAACACTCCTCGACAAATTACGCCGTGTTTTCCCTTTGAAACGGATAACCACAGCTGAGACTGGTTGAGGAAAGTCGGATCTTAACACGGGAAGAACAGGGGGCGCGATTATTAAGTGAGTGGGTGAGTTTAGTTTTACGCCGCACTCAGCAATATTCCAGCTATATGGCGGCGGTCTGTAAATAATCGAGTCTGGACGAGACAATCCAGTGATCAACAGCATGAACATCGATCTATGCAATTGGAATACGATGACATGTGTCAACCCAGTCAGCGAGCCTGACCACCCAATCCCGTTAGTCGCCTTTTACGACATGCATGGGTTGCTGAAGATCAATTCTAACCCGGACCTTCACGGGTCGGGGCGCGATTAGAGTTACACTTACTACTGAGCTCAAATGTTTAAAGATCGATTTGTTTGGTTTGACTAATTTGAGAGGATGTGAACAGCCGGACTTCCAAAATGTTTGACTTGAAAATTCACACCTCAGTCTGTGCATTACCGAGTTCTTTTCATATAAACGTCCTATGCACCTCTCTGTGAGATACCTTTTGAGTGAGTGAGTGGGTTTTACGTCGCTTTTAGCAATATTCCAGCAATATCACGACAGGAGGCACCAGCTATGGGCTTCACATATTGTACCAATTTGGGGAATCGAACCCGTATCTTCGGCGTGACCAGCGAACGCTTTAACCACTAGGTTATCTGACCACCCGAGATACACTTTGATATGGTGCATGTAATATCATTTGATATCAAATATATCAATACCACATCATATTACCGTTTTTATGGTAATTAGATGACAGCTTGAAAGTGTCACGTTTGCCTTTGTTTAATTTGTAACTACTAAATACTAGTTTATAACACGAGAAGTAGCCATCCATATACTCGTCTTATATATTTACCAACTTCTAAATGCTTCTCAAGAATCTAAATAAATTTACTAGGTTGTTTTGCATTCAAGTTCATAACATCCTCACGAATTATATCATCAGTGGTGAGTGGTGAGACTCGAGCCCGGATCTCTGAAGTGACAAGCGAACACTTCAACCACTAGGCTAACCCTCTAACCACAAAGGTTTATTGTAAGCATACATATGGAAATGTTCTCGTCGGGCATGAAATGAGTGAGTGACGCCGAGTTAAAGATTTTTTTAAATAGATCACGGACAGAAAAGCATCAATGTGTGGAAGTTACTAAAATAGGGATCGGTTGGTCAAAACGGACACATCTGTGCGTTTCGTGATATTTATAGGTGAGTTGCCTGTTAAATATATCTGATAAGTGAATTATATACATGTTCTTCTGCCTGCAGAAAAGGTAAACGTAAATGTATCAATTAAAAAAAGTATTTATTAATTAATCAGCAGCTAGCAACACATACTAGTTGTTTGCTTGGTCCATGGCATAGTTCCATTTCATGCCGGTGCCTATTTGTCTCAATAAATGTTTACACTGATCTGTATTCGTGTGAGGGCGCAGTGTAATAATTGTCTCAAGAAACTTCTGAGAGCAGCTGGTACGGTCATGATTGAATTACTGATCGCTGATTGGCTGAGCGACAGATATCTTGATTTTTAAATTCCGCTCATAGGAATTGTGAATTTCCGAAGGGATTTCGCGAAGACTTCGTAGCTACTCGTTATTGATTCCTGTCACTGTAGGAACCGTCAACTTTAC